CAACAGAGTCTTATGGACAACCCTGTTCCAGGGGTCTCTCCAGCCCTGAGATCGCAGGCCGGGCGGGAGGAGTCTAGTTCTCTGTCTCCAGGCTTCTCTTTGAGAACGGCGCTTTCTCAGCAACAGCACACTTTGTGGCAAAGGGTGGCCCCAAGGGGTGGGGGGGCCGGCCGGTGGGTGACAGGAGTCGAGCGTGACCCCAGCTCCACAGGAGCCCAGCTGGGGGTCTCTAATGAGCCGCCCCGGCGAAACGCAAGCTGAAAGGCCGACAAAGGCAACCTGGGGAGAAAAAACTTGGGATTTCCCGTCCCGGTTTCTTTGTCTGAGGGTTGTTCTTGTTTCGGGGGGCCAGGGCGTGGCGGCGGTGGCGGCTGGCAATATGTAAGGGTGGGGCTGGTGGCTGAAGGACAGCCGCCACGGAGGGAGTGGCCCATGGCGGTGGCTCTGGAGGAAGGAAGGGCCCATTGTCTCACCTGCTGTCACCGTGACGCTGCCCTCCTGCTGGGCTTTCCGCCCTCCGCCATGATAGCAGCCGCACCGACACCGTCTTCCCATCGCGCCGGGAGCCCCTCTCCCTTTCATGGCCAGTGTGGGGCTGGAAGATGGCAATCCTGGCTCCGTCCTGCAGCTTTGGCTCTTCCACCGGATTGGCTGAGGCCAGGACCAAATGATGGTCCTTCAGATCCTATGGTTACTATGGCAACCATCCCCCACAGGCAACACTGATTTACTTATAATTGCTGGATAAACAGTCCAGAGCAGGCCCTTTCATCCCCCACATCAGAGTCTTTCTCCCTTCTTGTCAGGGTGAGGCTCTCTACACTGCAAGGCAGTCAGCTCCTCTCACCCTGTGGGAAGGAGGAGACGCCACCGCCACCGCCTCCCCTCTCTGTCCCCGCACCTCCTGCTTCTACCGCAACAGAGCGCACAATGAATGCCTCGGTCACGGGGCATCTCTGTGCGCCAGCAGCAGAGGGACCCTCCCCACAGACAAGCCACACAACCTCTGGCAGGAAAACAGAGCCTGGAAGCAAGAGGGAAGACCGAGAAGCATCCGGGGCCATGATGGGAGGGAAGGGGGACTGTGGCGCTCCTGGTGGATGGAAGATCCTCCTGCAGCCACTGCTTCTGCCTTTCAGAGAGAGAATGCCAACTGTCCCTTCCAACAAGGCCACCGGGCGCGTCACCATAGCTCCCACACCAGGTGGAAAGAGGGCAGCCACACAGAAGGGCCATCTCTGGCCAACACCCAGCAGGAAACAAGACCGACAGCACCATTCGACGGGCAGCCAGGGGGATGGTGCCTCCCTCGGGCCTCCACCGCCCCCGCATCACACCAGCCTCTTTGCAGTTGCAGCACGGGCACCGGATGGGCACCTGTCTTACCAGAAGCCACCACAGCCACGTAGCCGTCATAAACGTGCAGTCCCATGGAGGGACTGGCGCAGAACAAGATAGCTAGCTGGTGGAGAGAAACCCTGAGCTGCTACAGGCGCTTCCGTCTTGCCTCTCAGAGTGATATCCAAGAGCTGCTGGAAAGCATCCTTAAGGGACAGCCTTTCTGCTGCTTCTTTGCAGCCGCCTGGTAGAGAGAAAAGGACTGAAGGACTGGCCCAAGAGTGTCAAATAACTTGTCCTGTCCTTCTGTTGAGGGACACCTCTTGGCTTTTCTTGGAAGAAACACATTCCTATTAAGGGAGACGTGGCTGCCTGCCCTGTCTCCCAAAAGCAACCCCAAATCTAAGCTCTTTTCTCCCAAAGAAACACTCCCAATGGTGAGGTCTCTGGAACTTAAGAGCTCAGGGGCCACGAGAGAGCCCGAGAACCCCAGAGAGCCGAGGGTCAGCTGTCAATTTTCCCTTCAAGCAAGGCATTGGGATTCTTGGCAAGACCTTCAACAGGGAGGCATTCACTGCAACAGGAGCCTTCCTGGGGCCCCGGTCAACGAGGTGGCTATGAGCCAGTTACAAGCACCACATGGACTCTGGCATTCAGCTGTTCATGCACACAGGAGTGTTAGGTGATGAAGACACAGGTCCTGCTTCCCTAGAGGAGGTCTGGCCGATCACACACCAGGGTGACTGAAGTCCTGAAGCAGCACTGTGCCTAAAGCAGGCAGGCCTGTACCCTTCTTCTGGTGCTCCTGGGAGGCAGAGGCCACCTCCTGACTGGAGGAAAGTTTGTACTAGGCGCCATTCTAGACACACAGCGTTGGACATGGTGAGCCCTTGTGGGGCCCAGGAAACGGCTCTTATGTTCTCTGGAGACTTGGAATAGCTCAAGGCAGGGAGCCGTAGTACAGAGGCCTGTGAGACGTAAAAATGTCAGAACATCTGGACTGGTGTGTCCAAGCCAGCTCATCCAGTGGACGCGAGCCCATGGTAGCTTCCATGTGGACTCCATGATCAAGCTGGCCATTCCCCAAGTGGGGCAGTGTGGGGTGCTGCCGCCTAGGACAGACATGTCTTTTATGAGCTGGAGCCTAACTGAGAAGTGACACACAAATGCCAGGTGCCTTCTTTGCCTTTACGGGCCTTGCTAGAATCTGGCCGAGGCCAGGGAGCAAGGACATGCTGCGGCTGTGAGATCTGGTTTGCAGCAGCAGCACGAGGGCTACTGCCCTATTCCCCCCCCCACACACCGTCAACAAAGGAAGGCTGGAGAGCATCCCAGGTGCTAAAGCTCAGATTTCTGCCCCTTTGGCTTCCTTCCTCCTGCTCAGGGAAAAGAGGGACTTTAGGGTACAGTAAGCAGTGACAAGAAGGGCCTTCTACCTGTATTTCCTGCTACTTTGTCTCGTTTGATTTCATCACCACCACCACCACCTACAACGCATACCGGGTTGTCTCATAATATAAAGGGACTGCTCATTGTGCCTCAACCCTCTAGAGAAGTTTCTTGCTCCATTTTAAAACTCTACAAAAACCTGCTGTCTTCCTGGAAAAGGACCTTTCCAAGGAACAGAGCAGCCTGGGCCTTCAGGAAGCTGCTGGCTGCATGCCATGCCTCCCCAAAGCATGGGACAGGACAGGACAGGACTGAAGAAGGGTTGTGATGCAGAGGAGCCTGGCCCCACCTCCAGGCTTGCCTTTCAGGTGTCCAGGCGGCTGGGACAGCAGCAGGTGTCAGCTGAGCTACTACACACAAGGAAGAAGGGGTGAGGTATGGAGTGAAAAAGCACGCTCTTGTTTATTGGCACTGCAGAGGCATCCTGAACAGAAGGTGAGAAAGCAGTGAGCTAGTGATGCCTGATGCCATCCACCTGTTCAGACAGTGGCCGTTATAACTGGTACCTCTCCCAGAGGACGCAGTAGGCTGACTGTTCCTCCACTTCACTTCACAATCCTGAATTAGCTACCACAAGTGGAACAGTTCTGGACCCAGGCCCACTCTCAGGCAAGGTGCAGCCTGTGACCTGCTTATAGCAAGCCCAGAGAGAGAACAAGGTGCTGCTAACTAGGCCCACATTCCTTTTTCTAGGTCTTCTGCACTTCAGCAGATTCAGAAAGTTTCTGTTCTTGGAGCTGCTGCACCAGTTCCTCTACATAGACTTTGAAGAGGGGGATGGGGTCCTGAGAGAGATAGAGAGAGATAAGAAAGCAGGAGAAGGGAAGAGAAGAGAAAGAGAGAACAGAACGGGTTACACAAAGCATCACAGCAGCTGATGCAAACGGACAGGGTCTTAAGAGGAGTTTGCAGGGATGGGCCCAGCGACCCTGGACACAGAAACAGACCAATTAAATCCCCACGCAAAAAGCCCAAGCCTAGACCTACCTTCTTCTCTAGGAGCCGCTGCTTCTCTACAGCTTCTTCTAAACTCAGCCCAACCCATTCCGCTTCCTCCTCCGGGATGACAAATTCCTATGTATGTGGAAACCAGATGGAGATTAACAGGCAGCACAAAGTCTCAACAAGAAGCAGCACCAGAATCCTCCTCCCTTTGCATTAATATTACCACTGGATTTGATCAAATGCTTTCAGCAGTGCTGCTAGGCAGGATCTGCTCTCTAGGACCAAGCATGGGTTGTTCCCAGCTCTACTACTCAGACAGGCCAGGACGGGCAAGAGGAGCATGTACTTCAACCCCCCCCCCACGGCCTTTTCCGAGAGACCACTGGATTCTCCTCTACTGTGGGGAGACTGAGGCAGCAATAAATGTTCTTACAGCCTTATGGATTGTTGTGCCTTATTACTTTTACATGTGTTTTTAGTACTGATTTTATGAAGACAGAGTAAGAACATCTATAAATAAATAAATAGATTTCATGGGCACTACAAGGTCTACAGCAATGCTGGAAAGAGGAGGAAATGTATAGGAAGACCAGCACTCGTGGTCATTAGGGAGGAACACCCACCTTGTACTTGTCATAAATGGCCTCCCTCTTTACAGGGTCATCTGGATGGAGAGCAGGGTCCCTGCGGGCAAGTCGCAAGAGCATTATGCGCTTCAGGTCCATGCCCAGTTTAGAACACAGCTCGGACTTTGGGGTCTGTGGGGTCGAAAAGAACAAGAAAGCATCTGCAGCATTTTTGGAAGGTTCGCTTTGGAGAAAAAGAAGAGTGACAGCACCAAACGGTAAGAGTCACCGGAGCTTCTAGCCAGGAGGTCAAGGAAGGACCTGCCTTGTGCCGAGAAGGAGTGAGCACAACAGTTTTGGGTCCTAGCCCACAGACTGGATCACGGGGTTAAAAGCAAGTATTCCCCAGACATATGGCTGAGCAACAGGGCAGTCAGTAGAACTGAGAATGCATCACAGCACAGGAGAAGAAGAGCTCAAAGCAGGCTCAGGGGGTGACCCAGGACTTGAGCTTACCTTTAAAATATAGAAGTCAAAGCCGTAGGCGGCGTCAATCTGCGCTAGGGTCCGCATGGTGACTGTGATCGATAGCTTCTTATCCAGTATCTCACTGTAGAGCTCTCGAGTGAACAGCTGGGGCTTCCAGACCTTCTTCAGCCGGCGAGAAAGCTGAAGACACCAGGAGGACAGGCAGCTAAGAACCACCTTTCTCCAAGGCCACCTGCCTAGAAGTCAAAGCCGTAGGCGGCGTCAATCTGCGCTAGGGTCCGCATGGTGACTGTGATCGATAGCTTCTTATCCAGTATCTCACTGTAGAGCTCTCGAGTGAACAGCTGGGGCTTCCAGACCTTCTTCAGCCGGCGAGAAAGCTGAAGACACCAGGAGGACAGGCAGCTAAGAACCACCTTTCTCCAAGGCCACCTGCCTGCCTGCCTGCCTGCCAGCCGGTCCCGCGGAGCAGCTGCCGCCTTGGGGCCGTGTGCGGGCGTAAGCAAGAATTCCTTCCTTGCCTCTGAGTTCAAAGAGAGCCTTGCCTCTCTGTTGTGGTTTTTTTTTCTTTCTTGCTCAGAGCAGTCAGGTTTTTAGCTTGCTGTTATCTATTCACTGCAATTAAATGAAACCTTTTGTTCTTTCTTTTTACAAATGTCTGAGAGTGAGTTATTGGGACTGTAAGTGCCAGTTAATGCGAAAAGGGGGTGGATTATACTGGGGACGTTGAAGCTATACTGCTCTGTGAATCCTCTGCACTTCTGCCACACAGCTAGAGGAATTTAACCAAAAATTCAAAATTCTGCAACAGGTTCTACATTTAGTTTCCATAGGGGCCAATCAGATGCCTCAATGGGAAGCTCACAAACAAGACACAAAGGTAATAACAGGTAGGTTCCCCTTGACATTTACAGTGGTGCCTCGCATTGCGACGTTAATTCATTCTGCAAAAATCACTGTTAAATGAAAACATCACTATGCGATATTAAAAAGCCCATAGAAATGCATTAAAACCTGATTAATGTGTTCCTAGGGGCTTAAAACTCACCGTTCAGTGAAGATTCGCGCACCGCTTCCGGCGGGAAGGTCAACCCTCAGAGACCCGGAAGCACCTCGCGCTCCCTCTGCTCTCACTGGCGCAAACCCCGCCAAGGGTTGGGTCCGCTGAAGGCCCCGCCCACTCGGAGCGCGCGACCGTTGCCATGGCGGCCGGAGGCGGCGCCTTAGAGGAAAGGCGCGCGGATAATGCCTCGGCTCTTCCGGCAATTGTGCGACCTCCGTGCCCGGAGAGGGTCGAGGATGGGACGGCGAAGGGCGGAGAGCGGCGCGATGGGGAGGCTGCTACGCCAGCCTCGGAGCGCGTACGTGTGCGGTGGGGTCTGCGCCACCCTCCCTCCTCGCAGGGTTGGTTTTCCCGTCGGCCCCCCAGTGCGCTTCCAGGGCAGAGAGGGATTCGAACCCAGAACTCCCTTTGCTCGTCCTTCGTGAGGTCTGTCCCTTTCCCCCTGCAACTGAGAAACGCAAGCTGAGGGAAGGACACCCGCCCCCTTGAGCCTTGCTGCCCCTCCTGCTCCTTGGGGAGGAGCTCTTCCCCCACCTCCAGGTCAGGCAGCTGGGCGGCCCTTCCCGGAGAGACCTTTGGGGAGACGGGCCAGAGAATTTGGGTTCGCTTGAGGGAAGCATCCTCTTTCCCAGAGGACGTTGCCACCTCCGGATGTGCCCGAGGTGAGGCAGCCTCCATTTAAACACCTCTGCCTCCAGAGATGATTCGAGCTCGATTCGATTATAGGATCCCCTGGTTTGTCTTTCTGGAAGACCCGGGTACCTGCAAAGCTCCCCTCCAGCACGGCCATTCCAGGAGAGGCAGGAGGAAGGGGAACTGATAAGAGAGGGGGCAAGGACGAGGTTCTGATATAACATATACCAAGTACTGGCTTTACCATTTAAGATAACACAGGCTATTTGGTTCACATGTATTTACACAAGCAATCGTACCTTGTACCTGTAATCGAAATATGATTTCACTATTTCCTTACTATAATGATATTCTATATGCATTTTTGTATCTGTATTTATCCGTATTCTCTATAGCCAACGTATTTCGTATCCTCATTTCTCTCTTGGTGCTCCTGACCCATCCCGCGCTTGGCACTCACATAAGCATTCCCACATTCTCACACAGATAACATTCACAGCGCTTCAGGCAAAAGACTAACATGTTTCTAACTACACAATAATGGTTCGCTCAAATTCACAAACTTGGCAGCCACTAACCCTGGGATGCAACTTGGATATTTTTCTCACATCTACCACGGCCAATAGGATGACCCAACAGAGTTCAGGAGGCCAATGAGGGGATGCTGTGCTTTGTTGTCCTTTGTAAGAAGCTTATAAAATGCTTTACCAATGTATGATGAGGACCTCCGATCCGCCTTTAGGACGGGGTCAAGTTCTATGTTTAATAAATTGGCTTACATAGACTGAATATGCACTGTCTTTCATCTGTTTTTCCTGCCGGAGAATTGAAACCTAAAATTGGATGGTAACAGAAGAAGAGCCAGATATGAGACGGGCCGACTCTCTCAAGGAATCCACAGGCTTCCGTTTGCAAGAGCTGAGCAGGGCGGTTGAGGAAGAGGGCATTTTGGAGACCGCTCTCCTCCCTAGGGGTCACCCTAAGTCAGAGGGGACTTGAACAGCATGTAACATCCACAAAAGGATTTCCTTCCTCTGTGTTTGAGAACCCATCTTTTTTATGATCCTATGGGCAAGGGAGCAAACGGTGCCCTTCCGTGGTCCAGCCCCTCTCCTCAACAGGCAGAGCTTCATCAGGTGCATGTTCCCTACTCTTGTTGCTCTGCCTGCAGGAAAGGCTCAGCCCCTGCCTGACCGCACAGCGGCTTTCTCAAAGTCAACGCCGCGTGGAGCAGAGGCTGCTCAGCCCCAAGCTGTCCAGGAGGCTTGGCTGCCAGTATTGTAGGTTAGCCTCTGGAAGGCTCCAGGCCCCATCACGCCTAGCTGTATGCTCACCTCTCCTGGCAACAGACAGACCCAGCCATGCGCCTGCTTTTGCAAGACCAGAGATCCCACTGACCTTTGGCCATGGGAGGAAATTACGCAGCACCCTGCTGCATCCTTCCCCCCCCCCAAGAAAAGCCAAAGACCCTTCATTTTGGCTGCCTTCATTTTTTTAATTAAATGGCAGAAACAAACATAAAAATGAAGAAAGAGCACAGTGTGCAGAATGATTAATCAAATAAAAAGGCATTTCCTTTAAATCAGGAATGGCAAACCTCTGCCCCCTCCCCAAAGCTGCCAAACTCTAATTCCCACCGAACCCCTCCAGTCAGCGAGGGATCCTGGCAGCAAGCGTTCACCAGCCCCGGGAGGGCCAGAGATTCTTCAGCACTGGGTGAGGCAGAGGTTTTAAAATGCAACGGACAGAAAAACAACATGAACCAGATACTACCTGAGCTTCGTAAACTACAGGTGCTCAAGTTCTTCCTGAGGTAATCAACAAAATAACTCGTTATTAATTTAAGGTTAGTGCCCCCTTTTCATTCCCGCAGCAAATGGGAAAAAGATACCCACTTCGCTTCTAGAGAAGTAATTTTTAAAAGGACTCTGTCCTGGCCCAGCAGCGCCAGCCGCCTTCCCTGAGGGGACCGGCAGGGAGAGCCAGGAGCAGCAGCCAGAAATCAAGAGAGCAGAAATAATCCCAGTTGCCCAAACCCTCACCTGCCCCAGGAGGAAAGAGGGTTCCCGGGTCAGAAGGCAGAGCAGCCTGGCTGAGAGGCACACAGGACCCGCCCCGTGCCTGGTGTGCACGTGGAGGGGAAGGAGCTGGACATTCCATGGGGCTTCCTTCAAGTAGGTCCTGCCTGGGAGGCTCTGGTAGAAGGAGGACACACACAGCGGCAGGAGCTGATGAAAGAGGAAGGTGCAGCTGCCGGACCAGCCTGGTCCACTCAGAGCCCAAGCCAGAGGCTACAGAGCTGCTGCCTCACAAGCCCAGGAGGGCAGCCACCCTGTCTGTGCAAACCAGCCACGAGAGGGAAAAGCCCAGGGTGAAGAGGGATGCCAGCTGCCCCGCCTGCCCAGGGCCAGGCACCTTGCTAAACAACGCCCCATTTCCCCAACGAGAGGGGCAGCCACAGGGTCTGCTGGGGTTTGCTGCTTGCCACCCAGGCCAGGTTCTGTCACTCTGGGCAAAGGGCCTTGCTCCAGGCAGCCGCCACCGGCTGCTCTGCTGGGTCTGGGGCCCAAGAACCAGAGCTTCTTCAGCACTGGGCTCTCTAAGCCTCCCTCCTGGCCCACCCTCCTCGTTCCTGGTTCCACGACACGCCTGCCTCCCCTTGGAAGGAGGAAAACAAGCAAGCTGCCAGCCGTCCAGAGAGGGGACTGCTGAGCTCCCTGTTTTTCACCTAACGCATGCCTCTCCCCTGCGGGCCCCAGCCTCCATCTAGCACCACCAAGGAGCTAGCACCCAACCCACACAAGTCGGGAGGAAGGGCGTGGGGGGGAGGGAGCTTCCCCCCCCCACTACCACCCTCAGGACGGTCACGTCACTGCGTAGAGCTCTTCCCGGTCATTCTTGCAGATCTGATAGCGACAGAACAGCTTGCGGGACCAAGCCCAGGGCTCCTGCTGCTGCTTGTCTCCCGGTGGAAGGAGGAAGACCAAGCTGATGGCCACCAGAATGTGCCACAGGCTGTGCGTGTAGTAGTAGTTCTCCGTGGTCTCCATGAAGACATACACCACGACTGCCACCACGGCCAGGCTGATCCCTGGGAAGAGGAAGAAGGCCCAGCGCTTCCAGGAGGGTGGGTAGCAATGCCGCCTGGTCACGCAACGGGAAGCCTGCACGAGGAGGAGAGGGCTGTTAGTCCCGGACTCACCCGGAAGAAGTCCGAGCGGCAGCCTGGCGTGCCCCTGGTCCAGGCAAGAGCCCTGGGCTGTAGCCTTTCGGGGACAGGGTGCCTTTCGTCTCCTCCTTCAGCCTCCCCTCCTCCAGTAAAGCTCCCCACCACCACCACCACCACCACCGCCGCCACCGGCGGCAGCGGGTACCATCCCTGCCACAAAGACCAGGCCCTCCCAGGAACATAGGCTGCTGACATGGCCACGGCCACTTACCCAAATAGCTGTCATGAGGATGATGGCGACCAGGCAGGGCGCCATCATGTTCCACACCCCTCGGCGGTCCAGGTGCAGAGACATGGCAATGAACAGGGTCCCCACCACACAGAGGACCTGCAGAGGTCAAGACAGGAAAGGACAGGGCTCAGCACGACATCCAGGCGCCTCCTTGGGCGGGCCAACGGGCGGGCAGCGCAAGGGGCAGGCCCTCCCTTCCCTCCAGCTGGGAAACAATTCTTGAGTGCCCCAGGCGATGCCACCCAGCCCCGGTCTGGACAAACTCCCCACCGGTCTGCACAGAGTGTGCTGTGGCTAAGCCTTCTCCTCACTGGCTCTTGGAGCCTGCCTAGGGATCGGAGGCCCTCCACACGCCTGCCAGACGGACCTCGGTATCCCCATTCTGCAGCTGGGGAGGGGCGGCCGGGCCTCACTGTCTCCCTCCAACCCACCCAAGATCTGACTCTCTATCCGCCAGACCACAGTGAGATGGCCAACTAGTCAAAGGATGCCCAGCAAGCTGAGGGTGAAAGCAGAGATCTCTCTTCCTCGGAGCCACCCTAACTACGGGGCCTTGAAAGGGGCCGAGCCCCAAGCTTTGCACTGCCCCAACGTACGTATTTCAGGATGTTCTTGATGCGGGCCATGCACAAAATGGTCACCCAGAAGGAAACCACGGAGCCCAGGAAGTCGCAGTACTGCACCGTGTCGTAATCCATGATGCACAGCACGACAACCCCCGGCTGGTCACAGGCGTGATAGAACTGCCACCAGGGAATTGAGAGAGAGGGAGAGGGAGAGGGAGAGAGAACTCTTATCAGCAAGGAACCTCCCACTCACCGCCGAGCCAGCAAACTCCCTCTGCCACCCCCCACCCCCGGGAGAAGCTCTTCTGCATCTTCAAGGGTTTGGCACAGCTTCTGGCCCTCTGAGCCTGATGCTTCCTCTTGGGTGCCTGGCTCTTGCTTTGGCCCATGAAGGTGCCATCCCACACCTGCCCATGTTAACCTTCCCGTTCGGTCGCTGGTCAGGCGGCACCTTCCAGGCTTGGAGGAAGAATCAGGGGAGTGGCCCTTTGGCCCTGCCGTGTTCCAGAAAGCAGGGCAGCAGGCAGTTGGTAGGCTGGCTAGCCTTCCCCGGATCCCCAAGGAGGGGCTGCTCGCTTCTTGCCCGTCCACCCCACCGCTGGGACCCCTGCTTGCCGGTGGTCTCCAGAAAGCAAAGCCAGGACCCACCGTGGAGAAGAACATGGTGAAAGTGTAAACAGAGGCCTCCACCAGGTAGTAGCGGTACAGGGCGACCGCGATGGCCGGCAGGAAGAAGAGGTTGCTCAGGGTCAGCGTGAGGGTGGCCAAGGTCTGGGTCCCCAGACTCTGGGCTTTGGTCCCGTCGGTGCAACTCCAGCCCCGCCAACCTGTCAGGCCAGAGGGGGGGAAAAAGGGAAAGGCAAGGTGACGGACCGCCCATCAGCAGCACCAATGGGAAAGTCCAATATTGTGATGCAGCCCGAGAGATGCGCTGCGGTGTGTGTGTCCCTGGCTCCCTTTGCCCCCTGGGGGGAAGCCGGGCTGCCAGGAGGAAGCGTCTGCTGTGAAAGGACATTCCTGCCAGGCCCAGCTCAAAGTCTCTAAACGGCTTGGGACCCAAATGCACAAAGAGGGAGGGAGGGAGGCCCCCCCCCTTTGCATCACGGCCTCTGCTTCCTTGTGCCAAAGTCCTTCAGAGGCTGCCTCTTTTTATCAGCAGCTCGGGCTTCAGCTGCGAGAGAGGAGGCTTTCCCCAGCCTGTGGGCTTCACCCTGGAAAGACCTGCCTCATACGCCCACTGTAACTGTTCAGCAACCATAGTTTGGGTTATTTTAATTGACTGAAAAACCTAGGCTGCTACTTAAACATTCGTGATCGACTGCCTGATTAGGCTGATTGGTCCTGTCCTGTGCTATAGGAACTCTGAGGATGCCCGTTGCCTTGAAAGATACATCGGCGTCGGTGCCATATTGACACCAACCAACGTTTGCTGCAATAACTGGAATGACCCAGGTGGGGTGCAGGAAGGCCTCTGTCCTCCGGAGACTCCATCAGGGAGAGGAAGGAAGAGGTTCCAGGAGAGGGGAGGGGCCAAGGCCAGGCCCCCTCCCTCCCGGGGCAGGAGCAGGAGGCAAAGGAGAGGGAGGAGGGCCCGGGGGGGGGGAGAGAAGGGAGGAGGAAGAGGCAGGAGAGCGGCTCTCACCGGCCTTGCAGTTGCAGCCGGCGTAGAGGTAGCCGTGGCGTCTCATCAGGCTGCACTGCCCGTAGGTCCCGCAGTCCTCGAAGCAGGGGCTGAGGACGGCCACGACAGCCAGCCGGGCTTTGGCTTGGTCGCAGTTCCTGCAGCACCACCAGCACCAGCAGCACCACCCGTGCGGGGGGGGGAGGGAGAGAGACAGAGAGAGAGAGAGAGAGAAAGAGTCCCTAGGCCTTGTGAGAGAGGGCCAAGGAGCCCAAGGAAGCCCCTTCACACCCACCCTGGGGCACAAGCATAGTGCTGCCACGACACACCACACCGTGGTGCCCCGAAAGAAGCGCCCGGCGAGCCCCCACCTCCCTGGCTCCCCCGCCCAGCCCATGCGCCGGCCTCGGTGTCGTTGCCCGGGACTCACCCTGCCGAGGACTCTGGGCAACGGAGGTGCAGGGAGAGGAACCAGTTGTCGCTCTCTGGGTAGGGGACGGCGAGGGACGCTTCTGCAGAGGACCTGCTCACACTCAGCGAATAGCCCTCGGCAAAAGCTGTGTTGGTGCCACAAGGGAGACACAAGCTACTGCCTGCCTGGCCAGGCAACAGGAACCCAGCCCAGTGGGCGGAGAAGTGTCTCTGCCTGCCCGCCCCCCAGCCCTCGCCCCCCCCCCGGCTGCACTGAGTTGCTCTGGGGTTGAGGGATGCCCTGGGTCTTCGGCCAGCCGGCCAGCCAGCCCACCCCCTGGAGCCACGGGCACCACCTACCTGTCCGGCAGCCCCCGGTGGTGGCGTTGGGGGAGAGCACAGGGGAGGCTGGGTTCAAGCAGGCCCACACAGTGGCATTTCCAAGGTCTGCCGAGGTCTGCAAGGATAAAAGCAGCCCAGCTTCCCAATCTGGTGGCAGGAGCAGGCTGAGCAGTCCCTGGGAGCCCCTGCAAGCCCAAAGCCCCTGCGGGGGGGGGGCAGCCTGGTGGCTCTACCTCGTTGAGCAGCAGGTTCAACACCAAGGTGCCTCCACTGTCTGTGCCCGCGTTGAGGTTCAGGAGGAGGAGGGTCGGGCGCTCCGCCTGCACCGTCACGTTGGACTCGCCCAGGATCCGGAACCGGACGGAGACAACGTCCAGGTCCTCCCGGATGACGGGTTGCCCTTGCAGGCATGAGCCCTCTTGGCCCGAGGCATCGTGAGCGCTGGCCTTCGTAAGCCCCGTGGCGTTGGCAGTGCTTCCCTGCGTCCGGTTCAGGCTCCGGAAGAAGCTTAGGAAGGAGCCGGACCCTCCGGGCCTGCAGGCTGGCAGGGGAGCAACAGGGAAGGCCGCTTCAGCCACAGGCCTCCTGGTTTGGATGCTGCTCTGCAAGACGTGCCCAAGGCCTGTGGCCTGGCAGATCCAGCCTGAGGGTGCCTTTGGCTTCTGCTCTCCCCCGCCCCCCCCCCGCGCGCGCAGGCACCCACCCGTGAAGGAAGCCGTCATATCCAAGGAGACGCTGGGGCTGGGGCTGGAGCCGGGAAGGCTTTCCACGGTGACCGGCAGCCACTTCTCCCACGGGGGCGAGGCCAGGAGCAGGCTGCAGGACCCTGTGCAATTCAGCACCTTCTGGAAGGACGGAGGAAGGGTGGCCGAGCCCAGCGTGACCCGAACGGTGCAGGCAGAGGAAGCATTCACCGTGCAGCGTCCCAGCTGGAAGCGCAGTGTGGCGCTGTAGGCAGGGACAAAGATCCTGCATGGGGGGGGGGGCGGGGGAGAGAGAAAAGGGAGTTCCTGGTCAGTCCAAGTCCCCTGGCCAGTTTCCTGTGTTCTAAACTGGGAAGGAGTAGCCCCCCCCCCCAGCCTCTGGGCTCTCAGGTCTCTCTTCCGCCAAGGAGGGGACCCGCTCTGCAGGCGACGAGCCCGCAAGGCCCCTTGGACCAAGGGGGCCAGAGAGGGACTCCCCCACTCCTGGTGTCCCCGTCTTCAGCAGCGGCTCACTTTGCATGCAGCACCCTCCTTGGCCAGGCCATCGTCTGATGCAGGGGAACGTTGGGCTCCAGGACTGGCATGTCCACCAAGCGCAGCACAAACATGTCCGGTTGGAAGATGTAAACACACGGCGTGGAGAAACCCTGCGGGGAGGGAAAGGCAGGGCTTGGTCCCCGGGCAGGCAGTCCGGGGCTCCCCAACCCTCGGGCCAGGGCCAGGGGGGGCCACCTGGCTCCAAAGCTCACCTGCAGGACTCCACGCCGCCCGCCCGCCTCACCTGCATTTCGATCTTGCCGGTGGGCTCCGGCAGGTGGGCCGCAAGGAACCAGTCGCCTGCTGCCGGGCTGGTGAGGTTGACAAAAGTGCTGTTCTGCAGGCCGGTGGTCAGCGTCAAGGTCTGATTGTAGGACAGGCGCACGCTGGTGTTCCCTGGGAACTGTGTTCCCAGCGGGTTGATGACAGGGGGAGCACCAAAGCGGATGTGGCTGCAAGACCGTGGGAAGGAGGCTGGGTCTCAAAGGGTTCCCCCTACCCGCACTGGGCAGGCGGTCAAGGCCTCGGCCACCCCCCACGCCACCCCCACCCCGAGAGAGGGCCCTGGCGCACGGGAGCAAAGCCTGGCCAGGAGACGGCAGGAGAAAAGGGGAAGCACCCCCCCCTCCTGGCAAGGGGGAGGCAGGGCATACGCACATGGTGGCCTGAGTGGCCCCACACTTGGGGTTCTTTGCCTGAGACACCTGGAGGAGCCAGCGCAGCACCACGGCGTCTTCTGGCACCCGGAAGCGGAAGACCTTGGCATTCCCGTACCAGCTGTAGGGCGAGAGTTTCTGGGAGCTCTGCGAGAAATACTCGGAGACAAAGGTCCCATCTAGTTGTAGGGGGTGGGGGGGGAGAAGGAGGAGGAGGGTCAGGCAGGGAGAGAGAGAGAGAGAGAGAGGAGGGTCCCATCAGCGGGCCCTTGGCAGACCCCAGCCCACCCTGGGCCAGGTGGGGCAAGCCCTCCTCCCCTCCCATGGCCCTGACGTGTGACAAGGTTTTGCCCTTGCTGCTTCCCAACAAAAGGGGAGGAGAAAGTCACGAGGGGGGGGGAGCTGGGGAGCCCCCCCCCCGTCAGCCTTTGCTTCCCCAAGGCTGGGCAGGAAAGGAAGGCTTTGCCCAGGCGCCTCTTTGCCTCTCAGGCAAGCAGACCGCCCCCTCTTCCTGCTTTTATTCCACTTTCTCCCTGCCTGTCTCAGGCGCGCGCACACATTAACAAACAGAGCCATGGCCTTGGTCCTCAGCCCTTTCGCAAGGTGCCTTCCGGCGGCGTGCCCTCCCGGAAGCCCACGTGCAAAGGTCAGGAGAGGTCAACAACGGGTGCAGAGCCATTGGCATACCTGTCCCTCCCTCCCCCACTCTCCAGGACTTCCCAGTTGTGGGGCTGGCACCGGCGTGGCCCCAGGCCTGGCATTTCCAGCTAGGGCTGAGCTGGCAAACCCACAGGTTGCCCCCACTCCCCCCCCCAGCTCCACCGTGAAGGCCCTCTGGGCCCAGGCCTCTCTGCAGCCCCCCCACCCGAGCCCTCCTCCCCAGCTCTGGGATACGGGCAGCCTGGTCTGTCCTGGACGGGGGGGGGGCAGGAAGGGGGAGGGGAGACGCCCCCCCCCCCCAGCAGGGGAAGCCAGGCAGCAGGCCAGCCCCACAGGAGGGACTTGGTGCTCCGTCAAGCCAGTCCTAGAGTGGGCTCTCAAGGATCCCAAAGAGCGGGGCTTGCAAGGTGCTGGTGAGAGCAGGAAGGGCCCAGGTGAGTGGCCCACCTGGGCAAGGAATGCTGCCCTGCTGGCCAGCCTGTCTGGCCCCCCCTCCAGCCACCCGCCCAAGGGGAACTGGCCAGACCTGTTCCACTAAAGTGCCAGGAAGCGCCCTCCCCTCCTGGCCCCATTCCCCAGCCCAGAACAGGAAGCGCCCAGACTGGGCGGGCCGGGCAGGGGACCCTCCCGGGACCGTTCCCTAGAG